GCACGGACGCAACGCTCATCATGTACATGCTTTGTTTGACATTCATGTTGAAATAAATTCTAAGATTTTCTAAGATCTAAACTGCTAGACTAAGTACACAGCGCACATTAAACAATACTATTTCTTCATACCAAGTGAAAAAAAGGATACAGGATAAAATGAGGATTTCGGAATGATCAGACATCTTAATAATAACATGGTATCAAAAAAGCTGGAATCGGGGTGATACAACGAGGGGGGCGGGAGTTTCATTAGCAATAAAAATGGTTACACGCTTCCTTTTATGTAGTGTTAACCTGAACGAGACTACACGGAGATATAGCAATACGATAGAATATTTACCAGGTTTAGGTACAAATCAATAGCGTTTACACTTACCTAAATAACGACTAACTATTTTTGTAAGTAACGCACCTAAAGCTGGTAAATTTACTAAACATTCTATCATACTACACAAAAAAAAGCGTGTAACCATTTCTATTCCTCATGAGAGAGAGAAGATGTTGAAAACCTTTCTTCCCACTACATCCACAATCACCTATGTAACGTTCAGATATAATTGTAGTAGGTGGACGGATGCTACCAAGGCGACAATCGCTAGATCACAGTCTACGATTGTATCCGGAATTGTGTTTAACACTGTATAAAATATCATCGAGGTATTATAGTCTCAATGTGATTGAGTTCTTATGCCGGTCGTCAAGCGTTCCTCAAATTATAGCCCGAATGAAGCATTTGATAACGAGCAACGTAGAATATTTCAAGACACGATATAAATGCGCGTACTATGTCAGAAAACTCGCGCGCATATTCCCATAAATAGTGTGCCACGCTTCACTTTCACTTATAAACTTTACCATGCATTATCAAAAAGCGAGATCGAAGAAGGTTATGTCCCGTAAGATATTAGTCAGCTGTTTTTTTCGATTAAAAAACGCTAAACACTTACCTGGAAACAGTGCATCTGTCCTAACGAAATGGCCTTATACAATAAAGGTGCATAAGTTATGTTAGGTAGACTAGCATTTGAACTAAATTGTTGGTCTCTACATAAGAGACTGCATAACTATTGCCACTGCATCACATGGAATCGAATGATCTATGTACCTTTAGCGGACAACTTAGTCAACACACCGAAAGAAAAAAACAGGTTAAGTATCTTAAGCTATAATATATATCTAAGAATTGGAAATCGCTGACGCATCGCTTTAAAATTGTACGCATTCAGGAATCTACTTCTGAATCGCTCGAAATTATTCTCTGGAAGATTCGGATTACGGGAACCATGACTACAAAACCAAAAGGAATTTTGAAAATGGGTTTTGAAAAAATCGAAAAAAATGAAAAATCGAAAAAAGAATATTGAGAAATCGGTACTCGCTGTCTGTGTGTCCGACGTTCTTTAACCAGCGATGTTCAACGAATAATTGCACAACATATTTAAAGAAAATTCAGTAGGTCGTCTGTGGTTTAATTATTGCGATAATATTCTCTAAGTATCTCTGATTAATTCATTAATAATTACAGTCGTTTAATTTCTTGTAACTAGCCCGTGTCTAACGACTCCGATCAGGTACATAACGGCCTACGCTTAAAGTTGACACCTGCCGGTAGCAGATCGGAAATTTGAATTCCTGGAAATGGAATACTTAAGCCCATATAGATTATCCTATCATTCATTGCACCGGTCTCGCTACTCCTATTGAGTCAATTAAATGGAAAAGCTCTCGTATAGAGGTAACATACTTTACTACGACAATCAGGGATACGTGGGGCAGCCTAATTGGGTCTAGGCTTACCATCACTAGCGAACGTGAAACTTCGAGTACTTATTCAGACAATCAGTATTTGAAATCTTTATGCTATGCGCACCCTCGATTGAGCATTCCAGACGTCAAGCTTTACAGCCTCGCACCTCAAATTTTGTTAGACTGTGTGAAAATTAAGCGAGAAAAAAAATTAACGATACGTGTATACGATTACAGATGGATACGCAAGGAGGCTATGCAGGTTCTTGTTTCGAATTGCACTAGTAAAATCCTGCTTTCTTTGTACATTCTAGACAAGCTTCTAAACATTTTGGGTGTCAGGAAACACCAGCGTGACATAATAGCAGCAGCTCTAATTTTTGCTGTAGGCATTAACGGAATGATTTAAATGCATTGTTGTTCCTCAGATTCATAATACTTATTTATGTTTCAAGTCGATTTGACCGATGCTTTGTTCTAATAACATCTTAGTATACCTATATACTGAGCGCTCTAATTTTACATCCTATCGACTGTTCTTAGTTTACCTTGCATCTTTTCGAATGTATAAAAACAAAATGTATAAGAAATTTTTCTTTCCCGTCATTATCATCAAAACGTCAATAGCGACGATACCTGGCTTGTAAAAAATCGATTAATTTGATCGAAATCTCTCCTTTTTGATTCTAGCCAGCGGTAAAGCAATATCGCTACGTAATAAGAATATGACTATTATAGACGCTACTAAGAATTTTACCGGCATCAATTACGCACTGGATCAAAAGACATTTTGTGGCTTTAAGACTCTTATTGCATTCGATAAATCTCGTCAATCCACTTACATTCAGCCGTAGTGTATAACGACTTGCCAAGGCTAAAATAAAGCGATCCTAATATGAAGCCGGCCTTCTTTAGTAAAGTTCAATTGTCTTTGATCAAAAAGTAGTTTCCTTTGTCTGCCATCATTGTGACAACAGAGCCGATGATCTTTGGATTAAAAATGGCTTCGGTGAACTAACATTGGCTTAGTACCAATGTTTCTAAAATGTTTCGAGATTTATAAGCACGGTATCGTCGTTAGACGTTCCATCAGATAGGTGGCTGGCCGGCAGGCGGAAACGACGTTTTGTCTATGCTTGAATTTAAACCTGCACCACAACGTATCGCTATGATTGACAGGCAAACTCAGGTCAAAACAGGTCATGGATAGTAATGATCAGCTTAGGTATAGAGATTCATAGATAACAGTCGGTAAGTATTTACTGTAAATACTGCAACCTTTCCATATGTTCCATAGGCAAAATATTTCTCTGTACGTATAGAAACATTCGGTAAACAGAAACATGTAAAATCAAATGCCATTACAAGTATTTGATGTAGAAAAGGTTTCAATAAATATTAGATATCTAAAAAATTAGTGAGTTACAAACAAACTACAAAACTACAAACAGGGCACTATGACACTTTTGTCGACTATCTACACTCTCTAACAGAAGGAGATTCTGCTACGAACAGCTTTACTACTCCTTCCCCTGTCCACTTACGAGTTCATGCGTTGAACAGGTGAATGTAGCAACGTTTAGTGATATGACTTTGTGCCAATACACTGGTTTTTCGAATACTTCTTAGATAAATATAAAGCGACCCTTAGCGCTGGAACCTTTTGCGTGTGAATCTAACGTTTAATGAACGCAGTGATGACGATGGCGGCTAAGACCTAATTAGGTCTAATTAGGGTAGGTCAGCTTTATTCAATCCGCTGCCATATGTCAGATAGAAGCCAAAAAAACCATCTTTGTTTTGTTGAATTAAATCAACTTCAGCGCCTGTGCCTGCACCTATTCGCAGCGTATTCATCTAAGCTGACCTTTATACGTTTCAGCATGTAGAAACTGTTTCTCTCCCAAATGAATAGTTATCACTCCTTAAGATACAAAACATCTTGCTCTTAATGTATTATGGCTACACGGATACATCCCAGTTCGCAAACATAGGCATTGTACTGCTATATAACTATAAACATTTTATAGATGAATGCCAAATAAAAGGATGGTGTGCTCGATATACGATATTCTCTGTGGTCGTTCGCTGACGCCTAATTCTCTAGTAATTTTTCATTGTCTCAAAATAAGTTATCCGAGCATGTTGACCATAGCGTTGTTGACTGCTACGTACGTCTTTCTCATGGTATCGAACCGTATTTTCTTGTGCAAATACCACTTTACAAGCCCATTATAGAATTTCGGTGTGCTAGAAGAGTCTTAGATATCGTTCTGCATTGGCGCCTCGTCGTAACATTTGGTATTGTGGATATTTGCTTTACTAAGATTACTAGACACATAAGGCAGGATTGCACTAAAAAGTGGGCTAAATTGTATGGATAACAGCATCGAATACATTTTACGTATGTTGTCAAGTCATTCTAGATTACCTGAAAAGCAAACAAGTACTAGCGATCAGTTTCAATTACGATTCAGGTAATTTGAAGTTTGTTTGTCTGTTATATATTGTGGATCAATGAAGCGCAAAACGATACAGATTTACAATGATACAAAAAAAAAATTATCTTTTCTATTTACGCAGGTCGTATAGGATATCATCATTGGCAACGACCCCAGACTGAAGTTGGCCGAGCAAGTTACCGGCTCGATCAACGCAAAAAAAATCTATACGTAGATAGAATTAGCTGCCGGTGTATTGTGATATTAAACTAGTTAAGCGAAAAAAATATGCCGTTTGATATGATCTTGGCAAATTGCTTTGGTGCATAACCCTGAATGGCAGTCGGCGACGACGGTAATGAATGGAAGTAAGTAGGCTCAATCCCTATCAGTAGAGCAGTTCTGTGATTGACTGTGCAATAATAGGCATGGGTGGCACCTATTTATTATACATTAATGCCAAGAGACGAATATCACTTAAGTCAATATTATTCTACTACTTCTTTCACGTAAAGTAGCACTTTGCTAATGGTGGTGAAGGTACCGAGTCCTTACGTAGTAGAGATAACCTACCTGCGTAGGTACTACAGTCTTATTGTGTTCTATTGATGATTTAAGAAAGGTACCAACGGGCACGAGCATCAGTTACGCAAAACAGTTTTCTGCGACTTGATGTCAGAGAATACCGATGCGCTAGAAGTTAACGTTAACGTGAAGAAGGCTTAAGCAGTGACAATTTGAGTGAGACATACTAGGGAATAAGTAATCATCTGCAACTGGTTCAAAATCTGTTACTGCTTATATGTTTCAGCCAAGTACTTAGCGCAGTCATAACGACATTCTGTATATTTCATTACTAACCAGATCGTTCAAACTGACGAGAAACTTTCGTTCGCGGGTACGGACAAGTGGGACTACAAAACGAAGGCAGACAAGTTTGCAAAGTGAATCGCCCTGACGCGTCCTTCGGTCATCTCGATTTGATTCTTTTCAAGCGAAAAGTTTACGTAATAAGCCCACGATCACCCAAGCCCTGAAAAGATGTTGGATGCTGTATCAGTGAAGTCCTGTAAGAATCATGCTAAACCAGTATTTGAATAAAAGAACTCCAGCAAAGCCGAAAACACAATTTACCGGTTTTTTTGTTCGAGATATAATTAACGCATGTCTACTTTATGGTGAAATAAAAAAAAAATCGGTACTAAAGCTGTCCCAAAAATTCGTAGATATTTATTAGAACGGGCATTAAAAATAAATTGGCACACACTATGGTCGTCTGTTTATTACAGCGTGTAACTCATCCGTTCATCCGGCTCAATCGCTATTTTTTCAAGGAAAAAACCCACAAATATATCAAAGATCTTCTACTCGCCAAGCACCAAACGTCAAAATCCACTTGATATTTTGTGACCCGGTAGGTGTTTGTTTATTGTTTGAATTTTTTGGAATCGTCTAAGGTTATTGTTGCATAAACGGTTACTATTAAAAGGTTACTTATAAACATAGGGAACTAGTTTTCGAAACTTTTTTGTATCCCAGAAATTTTTTTGTAGACCCAGAAATGACGCGAATGACATTAAATGGGAAGGTTCATGAAAAATGTTTCAAATAAAAAATACTGTATTCGAATTCTTGTTCTCACGTATCTACAATTTTTCGCCTTTTCGGAAAGATGCACATATCTAAACGCTCCGCAAATCACTGATATTATACGTGTGTATATCGCCACATATTACAGGTCCACCACATCTGGGCAAGGCTGTCTGTACACAAACTAACCCGGTCCTACTTTTCGTACGGACGCTATACACTTACTAGTATACATTTATCGGAAGAAACATATTTGGCCCTAAACAAGCAAAGATTTCATGTCAAAGAATCTTGAACGCTCTATGTTAACATTCTATCGTCGCTTAAACGCATATTATGATTTTAATATTACGCGTAACCTAAATAATTATATGACGCTCAGGGCTAAGTGGCAGTTGCCTGTATGATCGAATCATACACGCTCCCCCCTTGTGACGACTATGATTGACCCAAGCTCTCTATACTCTATACAAAATATATACCTTGGATGATTCTGTTCGATATTGGAAAAATGACTGGACATGCGCGATCGGCCTTTTAGGCGGGAGAAACACATTATAAAAATACTAGACTGTTTATCGGATTTTCAAACTGCGTACAGTTAGCACACAATATTTACACTTTCGATTATTTATAAGTTTATTGAGATTATATGAGTATTATAGAAAAAGAATGAATTGAGACTTTTGTATTGAAAAAGCAGCACTTAGTGATTAAATGATCAAGGTTTTATGTCTTGAAGCAGTAAGGCCTAGTGGAATCTATCGAAAATTGGAGAAAATATTTAACAAGGACTTCTTAGCGAAACGATAATTTTTTGCTGACTCGACAATTTTAAAAACGGAAGACCAAAGTGCAGATGGATATACCTCAAAACTTCAAACGAATCACCAATCACGATTGCGTTTGACGGAAAAAGATCACGGACTGTACACTTCATCCCAGGTCAATATAGAAATCGTCCAAGCATGCGTCATGAGATTGTAACGAAAACACCGTAGATGAAAGGGAAAAGCAAAAAACTCGTTTTTTTTTTTACAAATAGGACAGACGAAAACACTTGTGCTGTACCCTTTCTGGTAACTATTACCAGAAAAAAAAAACGCCTGAACCACATTTTCGCCGTAGATAAAAAGCTTACGTGATCACAGTAACCAGTCTTTACGTTCAAAGTCTGGATGCGTGGTCACTTCCGTGGTCTTCAGCTTCTCAACAAATCGTTGGATGGCCAGTCTTAAAAGGTTTCCACCAGGACGAACCATTTCGAAGAGCCAATTAGAAGTAAGGCGATTGAATTAATAGAAATTAAAAAAACAAACTCTTGAAAAAACGATTCATTCTTTTTTTTTAACAAAAAAGCTAATGTTAAAGAAATATTATAGCTTCTACTGTACAGCTCAAAAATCTACACATGCCAGAATCTGAAGGTAGGTGAAAAGCTTTTTGCCAATCCATATACGGAACTTTGACTGAAACATTTAGCATTACACGCCAGTAAACGATTAAATTCGTTTCGAATTTGGCGTAACAGAACTCAAAACCTTAAAATCCTGTAGAGTAATCGGCTTATTCAACCATTAACGTTACTCAGGGGACGCTATAGCAGCTGTTCCCGTTGACCAACAGATACGATACGTCTTGGTCTGGTCACCGCAGATGTAGATCAGTTGATGAGATAAGAATAATCGGATAGCACAGCACTGACCGACCCTATGCACTTCAACCACGAACGTAGAACCATAGATGGGGTCAATCCACTCAACAAAACCACATTGTTTGTTAGTATAAGGCGGACAACCGAATCTATATTATACCATTACTGAGCGAAAGAAAAATTCAATGACATATATAATATATAGTAACAGTATTATATTTTTAATAATACATAATAATAGTAATAACCATCAGCACGGCGTTAAGCATCAAGTGTTTTTGCGGGCATGCGAGAAAAATTTCATGGGTATTCGGGGGGTTCAAACGAAATCTCATATATTCATCCCTAAAATGATCCTTTTTTACTGAATGACGAGTGCTAATTAGAAAATACCATTGACCTATTGGATTGCTTAATGACAACATTTTTCATTAAAAGGCTGGGAATATCTATACAGAATTGTGACGGCCTGCCTGAGGTCCTCAAGGCAAACAGCTCAATGTTGATGACAAATGCATTCAGGGGACTGCTAGATATATGTCCGAAGCTCGTTTATGTCAATTTCGTGTTTGGGACACTTATTAGTTTAGAAGCCGGCAGCAGGTGGATTGCTTCTATAGATATTATAGCAAGCGACTAGAAACAAAGGTTATAAATATATGCGGATACACTGTTCATGAAATATCGCAACTGAAATAAAACACATCGTAAATAATCGTACGTTGTGCCCCTCTTGCTGTGCCTATCGTATGCAGATGTGTATCCCACGAACGATACAACCTTTCAGCTATAAAATTGAAGTTGCTGTGACAAAATTGCAGTTAACTTAGCGATCTTGGTCTACAGCACAGAGTTCCCTGACTTCTCTTTATCTTATAACCATCAGTAAACGTTCGAAATTGGATCTTCAGAATTTGAGTTGACTACGTGACAACTTCAAATCGCAAAGTTCGAATAACGTCAAAATGTATACAGTACGCAAGCGAAGTACACACGCTAAACAACAGCGGGAAGTAGTCCACACAGATACAATGATGAGACTTTGATGTTATTAAGTAAAAAAAAAAAACAGATTCTACATCTTTTGCAAGATTAGTTGAAGAGCTGCTTTGAGCTCTGGGAAGCTTTGAGGTCGTCTATTTAGGGAGAAAGTTCGTTTTTATTGAAATGTTTCGCAAGAGTGTTCTTACCTATCACAGCGAGAACGCTGGCGAGACAACGAACGAGGTTCACACACAATGATCACGCATTGACTTTGCTAATGGCTCTTATTTGCCAGGGTTGCCACGCATTGGCAACGCTAGGTACAATTAGGCCGATTATCAGAATTGGACCAAACTGATCCGTGTGTGATTTGACATTCACAGTTAAGTGACCGGAACCGACTCCCGGTTGAAGGGGCAAAAAAAAGATCGCATCGGAAAGTCAGATGATGCCGCTTACCTGATGAGAATTAAATGTTCTCAATGTTTTATGCCGGGGTGTTATTTACGGGAAGAAGGCTTCTTTCTCATTGCTACTTAACGACTTTATGGGTTAGAATTTAGGGTGGCGAAAGTATGTTTGTAGCGCGATCAGGCAACCTGGTTAACTATCTATAAGGATAATGTAAATAAAAATATATCTCTTCCGAAATTAGCACTTACAATGAAACTATCGGCACTGTCTGTGGCTCTAATAAGGTACATATGCAGGTTGTGATTCAAGCAAGAGCTTTTACTCAGAGATTCATTCAAATGTTACCCTTTTATCTATTCGACCTGTGATGTTGACTACAAATAGAAACTGCACTGCCTAAATTAGTTTTTCTTAATTCGTCCCACCATCCAGCAATTGTGAAGCTCTGTCGAGCTAATGTTTCTCATAATAGCATGTCCCGTATTCCCGACATATGCACACACACCGCCATATTGGGCTGTTGCTGTCGTCAGCCATCCGCATTACGCGATTTGTTTCCATTACACTTTCCTAAATACGGGAATAGAGGTGAGAAAATAACAAGATTTCCAGAAGTGTTTCCAGCTTTACGCCCGAAACCGCCCTAAAAAACCGTATAACATGAGTGACTTTTAGCTTAAAACAAAGTGTGTTTATGTTCGAAGCTCGAAAAAGCCTAACATTAGCAGACGAAACGCGTTACTGACTGGAAGGCACTAGATGTACGCCAGTTACTGCTAACCGACCCTGTAGCTTAAATACGGAACGTAAGGAAGTAATAATCATATGTATGACGCATTTAATTCGTACTACATCAAATTTCACGCAAGTTATTGCCCTGTCTCAGTGATTACCTTGAGGCATTTACGTCTAAAATGATTAGAAGCCTATTGGCGCTCAAGTGAATAGGCAAACTAGTACTAGCATAGAATGATTGAATCAGCGACAAAATAAGTTGAATGAAAATTGATGATTTTGACCAGCATTATCTTTGAGCTTATGTTAAACCCGGTTGTCTTAAACGTTGTAAAAATGCAATGCCATCGGTCCAGTTTCGCTGTGAGCGGAGTACGAATACGCAACATTTTATTTCATTTGCACTTAATTAAGTTAATAATTACTAAATATTGTATAAGTTTACAGTAGCTTGGCTTTTTGAGAACCTGCTTAAAAAGCATACACAAAATGCGTTACAAATGCGTTGTATGACTGGTGTGGATAGAAGGCTGCCAATGTCGAACGCAAATTCTGGATCGATTTGGGGGTAAGTATGGGGTAACCGTATAGCGTTTAGTTGAGCCAATTGTCAAAACAATTTTTTCGCCCTAATTTGCCGGAATGGAATCTGCCAATTAATATTGTAGTTGAATAGATCGCCAGCCTAAGCTGATCGTGTCCTATAAAGTGCATGTTCAATAGACTATTTTTTATATTTAATAGTCTCATTTCAAATAACAAAAGTTAAGCTGACCCATTTGTATAAGGTCATTTCTAGACTGAGGATCTTGATCTGCGTCATTATTATGCTTTGGAGAAACAAACAAGAGACGACTGACCTGACGCTCTATATAAGCACTTACTTGTTACCAGTATTTGATCACACAAATCAAATGCATGTATATGTGGTTTAATTTTAGATCTGCGAATTGTACGAACAAAATAAGAAAGGTCTACCTGAAAATGCTATCTCAAGAGATGTGAAGCAATTCGCCGAGCTTTTATGCGCACGAATTGCCAAAGGACTGATTAAACGCAGTCACTATAAAATAACAAACAAAAAAATGTAAAACGAATAAAAAATACTATCCTACTATATATATATATATATATATACACGATATAAAAATAATAAAATATATGCCGAAAATAACGTTTCACGCAAAGCACTTGCTATTCAAATGAAATAATAAATGAATGTTAAATGGGTATCGTATATAATGAAGTACATTAACGTCAACTTACACGAAATTAAGTTTCATAAAATAAACCAAATTACGTATCAGTATTACGATATTACATCCATAGAAACGACCACATCAAGCGGAAACCGCTGAGAGGGCATCTAGAGAATAAGATAGAGGTAATTCATGATGTTTGTGGTTCCCTCATACCAATTTGTTATTAAGTAATCAAC